GCTTCAACAACATTATCATCATCAACAGCAGCAACAGCAAAATAGTAGTGATACAGGATTTCAAAACAAGATGATAGGAATTTAACCATAGTTGTTACACTGTATAGTGTCAACGTCAAAATAGTTGCTCAGGTTACCAGATACAGGGAGGTGGAATTGATCAAACAATATAATTTTCCTTTGAGCAGTTTCTTTCCCTTTCACTGTATCTGTTTTAAATTTTTGGATATTATTTACTTTCAGTTTCTTACACCAAGGAGACAGTATGGTGTTTATATATGTGACTGGTTTATTTCACTTATGAGTATGGTCTATCCATTTACCTGTAAAAGCCTCTGGTTTATCCTTCTTTATGGTACTGAGTAGTACTCCATGGTATAAAAATACCATATCTTTTTTTATCCATTCCTCAGCCTATGGGCATTTGGGTTGCTTCCAAGATCTGACTATTACAAATTGTGATGCTATAAACATGGGTGCACATATATTGCTGTGGTATGCTGTCTGGGAAAATACGCAAAAGGGGGATAGATGAGTTGAATGGAACATCTAACTTTAGTTTTATGAGGAGTCTCCATCCTGATTTTCACAGTGATTTTATCAGTATTCACTCCCACCAACAGTGTGGGAGGGTTCCCTTTCCCCCACAGCCCCGCAGCATTTGTTCTGGTTGATTTCTTGGTATTAGCCATTTGTTCTGAAGTGAGATGATATCTCAGTGTTGTTTTAATTTTCAGTTCTCAAAGGATCAGCGATGTTGAACTTTTTAAATACATTTATTTGCCATTTGAATTTCTTCACCTGAGAGTTATGTATTCATCTCAGGGGCCATGAGCAAGGGATATTTTTCCATTTTCTGATATTCTCTTTGATCTCCTTTTAAAGAGTACCGTACTTTTGAATACATAGATCTTTTCTTGGATCTAGCTTTATTATGATACCAAAATAGGACAAGGATTCAGTAAATAATTAAAGTTACAGGCCAGTGTTATTAATGTAGTTGTCAAAATCCCTGCCAAAATACCTGTAAACTAATACAAATCAGAAGAAAGTCAATTATCATGATCAAGTGTGCTTCTTCCAAGACATGCAAGGGTAGCTCATCATTTGTAAATAAATAAATTAATAAATAGAAAATACCACATACACTGAAGGGCAAAAAAATCACATAACCAACCATCTTTTTGTTTGTTTGAAACATGGTCTCAATATGCAGTTCAGGCTGGCCTTGAACTCACTTTCTAATCTAGCCTGGCCTCAAACATAGCAATCCTCCTGCCTCAGCCTCCTGAGTGCTGGTATTATGGGTGTGCAGCACCGCATCTAATATCATAATCATCTCAATAGGTGTAGAAGCGAGCTCTGGGAAAATTCAAACATCCCTTAATGTTAAAAACTCTGATAAGAATATATACACAAAGACCTTACCTCAAACTGATACTGGCCACTTATGACAAACACACTCTGAATTCTACATCCTTATTTCATTACACTGAATTGTCATCAGTCTCTTGGAATTCTTGTTTCCTGATGTAGCTGACAAAGTTTTATTTATTTTTTATCTTCTTGGCATTTTGAGACAGGGTATTTTGAGACGGGGTTTTTGAGACAGGGTAGTTCAGGCTGGCCATGCACTGACTGTGTAGCCCAGGCTGCCTTCCAACTCTCAATGGTCCTCCTATTTTACCTCCTGAGTGCCCCAGGTTACAGGCACAAACCACCACACCTAGATTTTGCCAATGTTTTTATAGCATTAAGTATTCTTGTGTAATGCTTTTGTCCCTCTGGTTAATGCTTAATTTCAAAGAGAAGTTTTTATTTATATCCAATATTGAATGATGGTATATCATTTTTCCTATTTTTTTTTTTTTTTTGGCTCAGCTTTGGATTTCTATTATGCTGCTGAATTTTCCTATGGGAGTATTTTCTGATTCTGAATTTATCTTAGTAGTTTAGGTCAAGAAGTACACTTTTCCCATGGTTACTCCACAAAATGTCAGTCTTCTATTTTCTAGACTCCATGGATATGCTACTTTGTACAGCTAAATGTACATTGCAGAGAGGTTTAAGTGAAGAATGACTGAAGTGAGGTTATCTTGGATTATCTGGGTGACTGACTATAGATGTGACAATGCAAGGAGAGATGAAAGTGATACTTCTTGAATGAAATGAAGAGGCCATTCAGGATTGCAGGCAGCTTCTGAAACCTAGAACTTTCTGCCCATAGAAAATGAGAATCACTGAGAGCGCTGATGGAGCAAAGGAGGCTGAAGGAAGATACATTGGCTGGGTCTCATGGTAACTACCAGAGAGGAAATGCAATTTGACCTTAAAAGATGTGATAAGTTTAACACACAATGGGAGGTAAAATACAATAAGCTCTAGTGACAACTACACCTATAGTCTGTGGCTTGTTCATGTATGCACACAGTGGATGTGAGGTTGGTAGGACAACTGTCTCCCGTCAAGTAATTGATGGGCTGCAGCTGAAGTTCAAATTATACAGGTCGTAGATAGTCAAAAAGACAGACTGGGAGCTGGCACAGAATCATGAAGAAAGAGACTGTCAGCTCCAAGAAAAGAAATACTGATGAAGACCCGGTTTTGTGTGGTCAAAGCTGACTCCCAACTGACAGAAAAGTGATGAAAAAGAGTAACAAAGAAGACAGGTTGGCTTGGGAAGACACATGAGAATGTTTCTAGTAGCAGGAGAAATTCACTAAGTACTAGAACTTTTTGCATTTGTGATGTATTCTCAAATTACACCACAATATGCATCTAATGTATCTTTCAGGATAATTTAATCAGTAGTTCAATATAAAATTTACTGATTTTCATGAGAGAAGCATAGTTGTAAGCATAATCCTCTCTGGTACTACCATATCCTCAGGCTTAGGGAGATTAAAAAATGTACTATGCCTACACACATCAAGGGATATCCTTTGTTTCATTCTAACATCTGTCTACACTTTTGGATGAAGTACAAGATATGAAAGTTCAAGTTCATGTCATTAACTTAAGGAATAGATTTAGCAATCCTGCAGTGAATACTGTTGGGGCTTTAGAACTCTGCGATGTCATCCATAGGTCACAGAACACTGCTGAGACCTTAGTGATAACTGCTATCTAACGCCACACTGAACATTAGAGAGGACAGTGATCTGGTGAACACATAGTGTCTTTTGTTATTTGTTTTTTGATTGTATAAATTTCATTCATTAATACTAATTCTCTGAGAGAGACTCAGATAGAATCTTAATTGATATTAGTAATTCTCCAAGGAGTCGAACTATGAAGCACAAAGAGAAGAAAAACCTGGGGAGGAAATTCTTACAACGACGTGGGAAAAAGTCAAAATATAGAAGAGGTATGAGTTAGTATATTCTTGGGGAATATGGAACCAGCATTTGCCTTCTAAAAAGAAAAAGGAATTAATTTCTAGTTTTTGATACAGGGGCACTAGAAAGAAAGATAAAGAAGGAGAAGAGAAGTGACTCGGAGGGAAGGGGAGCCATATATACTGTTCCTGAAGGTCCATGTAGTCTGATAAGAGAAGGCTCGGGTCTTTTTGCTTTGTTCCTTAGGACTGGGTCACTCTGTCACATATATAGTTCAGACAACTTTTTCTCTTAAAAATGAGTTTTCTGTCATTTTCCTTTTTCCTAAGGGCATTGGGGAAGTACAGGAAATTTTAAGTTTTGACAGTATTTTTCATCTCTTGATGAAGAAACTGTAGTTCATAGAATTGAAGCAAACATTTTTTAAAAGTTTAAATGTGTGTGCCTGAATGATTATCAAGTCATAACTTTTTACTCAGGAGTAAAAAAATCTAGTATGAAAATGTGGACCTCTTTGTAAAATGTGAGAAACAATCACATGTGTGCACACACACACATACACATATTCATTCACACGCATACTATTTAATCATGAATTATGAATTAAAAAGATAAGATGTGGCTCTTTATGGAAAAATTGTGAGCTAACAGTTGTGTTACCTTGGAGACTAACAGTAACAAATGACTCATATAAGGAAGACCCCTGTTCAGTGTTGAGAGAGGCAGAGAGGGGCCAAACCCACATTCTCACAATTCTCAGAGCAGTTTGATATTCACAACAGATATTAAGGGTTTTTTTTGATGACTTTTATAGCAATGCCTGGAGTGTGAGTTTGTCTTTATTTTACCTTAAATCAGCACATATTGAAATGTCAGTTGTAAACTATGAAATATGGAAAGCTCATATTCACACTTATTCATAGGCACACAAAACACACAAACAAAATACAAAAACAGACCATAAGACAACAAATACTTTCTTTGAACATAGTTATCCACTAACTACGTGCATAGTCTCATTATTGGCCTTCCCAAAGCAGCTTACAACCTGGCTCCATCAGAATACAATAAGCTCTAGTGACAACTACACCTATAATCTGTGGCTTGTTCATGTGTGCACACAGTGGATGTGAGGTTTGTAGGACAGCTGTCTTTTATCAACTAATTGATGGGCTGCAGCTGAAGAAAACATTGTCACAATTAACATGTAGCTTTCACAGAGAACCCAGGGTTGTCAATGTCTCAGTCAAGTGGAAAGTGGAAAGGAAAGTCCATGGAGAGATACAGCTGTGTCTATGGCCACAGAGGTGGTATATGTCACGTCTCATTTTCCTTTGTAGGAAATGTAATTGCAAGATCAGAGCTAACTGCAGTGGTCTGTCCAAGTTCAAATGAGTAAGCAAGCAGTCTCTCCATCAGTGACACACTGTGTAGGTGTAATGATCTGTAACAAGTAATGATGGAATAAACATTGCTCTACATTTAAGATTTTACTAATAGGAGCCATAATGTTTACCTTTGAGAATGGAGGGAATGTATAATCAGTGAACATGTGAAATGGTAGAGTCCTTATTTGCTTAACATTGTCTTTGTTAATTTTCATTCAATTTCTCAGGAAAGTTGGATTTTCCAGATGTTCTGCAAAGTAGGGCCAAATGCAAGATGGCTCTAATGCAAGATGACCAAGCAGCAGAGAGTTCTCCCTCCACCCTGGAGGACTTCTCCTATGGAAGCAAATTCCTGGATGCAGGTATGGAGGCTCTATTGACCAGGGTGCAGAAGGGAAGGTAGAGTCTAGGCATATTCCAGAACTGAGATGAGTGCTTCTGAGCATCAGTTGATACAAGAATGCTCAGTTGATACAAGAAACTGAAAATACATGAGAGAACTGAAGAATCTCAAATCATTGTAAGATTGGGTTCTGCTCAAGAAATCATGGTAGAGTGTGTGAGTCACATAGGAAGAGAAAGACTCAGGGAGGAACACGGTAGACTGACAGGAAAGCACAAAGACCCTGATAGCTTAAAAGAAGCCCAGTTTAAAAAGAACATCAAAAGATCTGACTCAAGGCACATTAAAGAGATACTGAATCTGTGAACACAGCACCTCCATGTACTGTCCTAGCCAGCACTCTCCCATGTATTCCTACACAGACCCTTGTACACTGCTACCCACTTCTCTCCCTTCCTTGCAATGTCCCACGTGCACGTGAATATATTGTTATTTACCCAGTTATACAAATTGTAATATTTATTCTGACTTTAGATGACCCTACATTTATTATCTTGATTTTTGTCTAAGTTTGTATAAATAGAAGTGCAAAATGTGTACTTTTTGTCTAGGTCTTTTCACTCATCCTTGCATTTATGACTGTTATCCATGTGACATATGATGATAGTGTGTATACTGGCATTTCTGCATACATTTCATTGCATGAAGACAAAGTATTTACTCATGGATCATACTTCGTTGGGCACAAAGTTTGCCTCTATTAAGGAGAGGAAGGTGATACTTTGCTATATTAATGCAATTTTGATTGTTGACTATATTTTAGTATATTAATACCTTTTTGCTTGCTGAAATTCTCAGAACTACTATATACCTATGTTAACCAATTCACAACTTAATGCTTTGTTTTCTAATACAAATATTCACATCCTTTTAATCTTTTATAATCTTCATGGTAGCCTAGGATATTTTATATATCTTTTAACAATATTTTATTTTAAAAACAATGCATAGAAATGATATAGAATTTCAAAACAATTAATAGGAAATTAACATTATTTCATATATTGCATATTTTCATTTTAGGAGTGGTGGTTCAGATTATAAGATTTATGGATAAAAAATGATCAGATGATCAATGAAAGTACAACCTTTTTTAATGAACTGACAGATTGGTAGCATAGTTATCTATCTTGTATGTTGTATACACACCCATATATATGGACACCTATATACATATAATCTCTTCTCTTCTTTTTCTCCTTTCATCCCAGTTGTTCTTTCCTTTTGAGCACTTTCTTTCCCTTTCATTTTCACACTATCTATTGTACATTTTGGATCTTATTACTCTTTCAGTTTTTTTACACTAGGGAGACAATGCAGTATTTACACATGTGAGTTTGATTTATTTCACTTATGAATATGGTCTCAAGTTGCATCCATTTACCTATAAAAGCCTCAAGTTTATCATTCTTTATTTCTGAGTAGTACTACATTGTATGGGAAGCACGTAGAAGACAGTGAAGCAGCAAGCAGCAAGCAAAAGCCACAGCAGTATCAGTATCAGGCCTGCCTTTCCTCTCTCCTTTTATATTCCACTCAGGCTGCAAACCTGTTGGTTCATTTCGTCCACACTCAGGAGGGGGCACCCACTATCTACCTCCTTAATCCAGGCTTCATTCCCTTAATCTACATTCACACATCCTATTGCAGCCATCTTTGGACCTCCATACCTGTGGCTGCATGAGGCTTTGGAGGGGACATCTAGATACAATCCACAACATGATCTAATGATTTTATCTTTGTATGTAACTAGCCATCATCAATCCATATTCACCTCACCACCTCTCAGCAAAATAAATGAGCTGACTTACATAATTCTTCATAAAACTGTACTCCATATCTTTATTTGTACAATTTATTTCCATTAAACTGAGCCAATAGTAGTAGTAATAGTAATAACTGTTAGTGAATGTATATCATATTTTAAGCATTGTCATGTTCCCAATATTTCATACACATCTCCAAAAATATATATATTTATATATATGATACCTAATTCCAGTTATACCTGCCACATTTGGAATTCTGATAACTATTACATGTGTGCTCTGGAGTGATAGAGAACCTAGTCTATGCTGTGTATCAATGTTTGTTGTTCCTGTTTCTCTAACTCCCCAGAATTGGAACACTCTCCAGAGCATGCCTCTGAGACACATGAGGTGATTCAAAGCTCAAGTCTGGATGCAGGAGAGACTTTGTCTGCCTCAGAACATTTGCCCTGCATTTCTTCTTCAAGCACGCGCTTTCCTGTGGACCAGGATGGTAAGGCAGACACAAAGGTGACCTCAGCGTGGACAACAGGTGCAGCTGAGCGGGCTCCCACCCTACTCACTTCACCTTTCCTTCACATCCAGGGCAGGGCCTCCGGGAAGAGGGATGAAGACTGACTCCTCTGGGTGGGGGACAGATAGGAAATCTGCCTTGCAGAGGAGGCAAAGCTCCTCAGCACACATGTCCACATGGACACAGAGGCAGATGAGGGTGAGGTAGTGGCCCATGTGGAGATGTGCAGGGGTTGGGATCAGAGCCTCCCTCTCAGATCAGTGCACACTCAGCTCACACTCACTTGTGATACTGTTCATACAAAGTACAAGCACATTTCTCACCTTTTTTTTTTTTTTACAACTGTCTCTTCCCTCCCCATTGTCCCAGCTCCTATCAGCATTACTAGGTATGGCCTTATACCTGCATTCTTACAGTCATTCTCAGACTCACCCCTAATACCTCAATCAGTAAAATAGTAGCACATCACCTCACATGGTACCTGTTTTAACTCCATAATGCTAATGGTAGACAAAATACTAGAGAACTCTTGTGCTCTTTCACTGTGTGTTTTTCTCACCTTAACACCACATCTTCCGCCACGGCTTCAAACTTTCACAGAGCTCCATGTGCTGAGGACATAAAAACCCTCCCTGTAACATGTAAGGCTGCTGTTACAGCGTCTGCCAATACTCACCACTCACACAGCGGATCACATGTGCTGTCATACAATATCACATTTGCAAAAATACACTCAGTCCTATTTGCTTTTGCCAGTACCAGAAACATTCACCAAATATATATCACGATACATATATACATATATATGTATATAAATGCATTTTTTCTACAAGATGCCCCACACACCCATTTACCAAGAGGACGTAACTGTATACACATAACACGCCACACATAGATTTCTCAATATCACAGATATCTCCTGTTCCCCCACCTGTGGATATTCTCATGGTCAGCTCATCTCCTTAACTTTGAAGCTTTCTTTCCTACATACCAATATACTACCTCAATGTGTTCTAGGTCCGGGATCTTACAAGGTGCTTTCAAATCAAGATCCAATGGAGACGGAGAATTCCCTCTTCATGCCGCACTATGATTTACCTTCCTCCTTGGCCAGTCGCCCCTCGGTGTCTGTAGCAGCTACTGAAAAGGAAAGAATACTGAATGTTTACTACAAGCCTGTCAGAGTGAAGAGGGGTGTGGCTGTTTTGGAGGATACAGAAGATTTGGAGCCTCCTGCAAAAATGATAAAAATAGGAAATGTTGTCTGTCAGGAAGGGATCCCTCCAGAAATCAGCTTCTCTTCCATGAGCCTCACAAGTATCCTAAGTCTGCGTGATGGCGGCTTGGATAGTGAACTGCAAGGAGAAAGAGAAGAGGCTGAGAAGCCACCTGAGAATCTGGCCTTAGAGGCAGATCCCAGTGCCACGGCACCTGCAGAGCTGGAGCACATGTATAGTGGCTTTAGGTGCATGGGCTGCCTCCAGGTCTTCCCTAATTTGCAGATGCTCAAGAAACACCTGGAGGATGGGGCAGAGGAGGGTGGTTCATGCATTAATCTTGGCTTTCCCAAAATGAATAACAGCAAGATCTCAAGGAGCATGGAGGCAAATACAACAGCATATGGAGATGATATGGAGATGGCTTTATGGGTCTTGGCATCTTATGCTTTTTGTTTCTTTTGGTATTATTATTATAATAAATAGAAACTAAATCATTTGTCCATGTCTGTAAATAATAAATGAGAGGCACTAACTGAATAGGGCATCTGAAAGCCTTTTCATCCACAGAATAGCACTTTGGTTAATTTTTTGTCATCTCTGCCCCTTCAGCCATTTCATTCTGATGTTTCCAGAATGAGATTCAAAGTTCAGTTTTATAATTCAATTTTATTAGTGCATGTAGTGGTACACTTGGTGTTCAGAGTTAGTGTATGTGCATAACACATCTTAGTTCCTTTTTCATCCCCTCTCTCGCTTTTCCCTCCCTTTTTTCTCCATCCTTTGGTATTCTTCACATCTTAATTTTAATTTATTTATTATTTTGGTACTGGGAATCAAACTCATGACCTCATGCATGCCAGGCCAGTGCTGTGCCACTGAGCCATGTTCCTGGCCCCTTTCACTTTTTAAAAAGATCTACCTCCCACATCCAATCATCTATTTTTAGTTTGTTCTTTATTTATACATTGGAGTTGTCATACAAAAGAAACCATGTGATATTTAAGCTTATGTGATATATTTCACTTAACATTAAGTCTCAATGTGTATCCATTTTTGTACAAACAACTCAAGTTTATAGTAGAGTAGTACACCACTGTGTTTAAAAACTACATTTTATATTTCATGCTAAAATATAATTAAAATTATTTTTAAACATTTTGTTTATGTCCAATTTAGGTATACATTATAATCACGTTCATTATAGAGAATTTATAGTTGTACATGATGTATCTTGATCCCTCTTTTTTCCCCATTTTCATCTCCTCCTTTCAGACCCTGGTCCTCTGACTGTTTACAGAGCTGTGTTTTCATTTTATCCTCCTCTCCTGTTTTTTCTTTCCTTTCCTTACCCCCTTCCCTAGTTCCCTGTTCAGTTTTAATAAACAGTTCTTCCTATTTCACAGTATTTATTGTATATTTCAGTTTTTATTTATAATTTGTTTCTTACACGAGAGAGATAATGTGATACTTACACAATGTCAGTTTATTTCACTGATGATCATAGTTTCAAGAGCCATCCATTTAGCTACACATGTCTCAAATTTGTCCTTCTTTTTGCCTGAGTTATGCTCCATTATATAAAAAACAAAACTGCATCTTTTTTATCCATTCCTTGGTTGATGGGCATTTGGTGAATTACTAGTCAAAAATTACTTTTAGAATGTTCAAACAAATAATTTTAAAGTATGAAGCTAACTATTCACTGATTCAACTATTTATCAATTATTAGCTATTAAGTGTAGACAAATAGTACGTTTCTGAAAACAAGGGAGGAGCCTCATTTGTATGAGTGCCAAGTAAAAGAACTGTTGACACAATTAACAGTTACAGTTTTGCAAACTTTGTTTTTAATTTTTTATTTTAAAGAATAAAGCCAAAAAGAACAGAACAAAACAATGCAAGCAACACAGTACTTCACAAGACAACCAGACATCAGCAGTAACTACCATAATGTCTCTTTTCTTAGAAATAGTTGTGTATACCTTCACAGGCAATAATATTAAATGTAAGAAGACAGTATAAAACCATTCAAAGAATGAAAGCATTACAGAACTTCAAAACCAACTATTAGGACATGAACAATGGCTACTGTAATACTTCGTTATCTTAAAAATATTTGTCTATACCATCACATGATAAAATCAAAACACAAGAGGATAGAACCAATCAAAAAAGAACAAAAGCATGGTAGGACTTCAAGATGATAGTAAATCAGCAATGTCTACCATAATGTCTTGTTTTCTTCAACATTGTTTGGCCTTACTGTCCTCCTCTCTAGGGAGTAGTACTTTTTTCTGGTTCCCACTCAAGTTCCCACCACTATAACTAGTGGAGTGCTAGCTGGTATGCATATCAGGGCCTGTCGTCATGCTTAGAATAAAATCAGCCTTACCCAACTTCATGACTGAGCACTGGAGAAGAGGAGAGTGGGTGGGCAGCAGGAAGCCAGCAAGTGTTCATTAGACCAGAGTAAAGAATGGGAAAGGTTTGTTTGTTGGTTTTTTTTTTTTTTTTTTGAGAAAGAAAACAGCACAAGTAAATCAAGGAAAATCACATCATCATGATGTATGTGAGACACAGCAAGTAAACACTGATTCAGCATAGCATGAGACTTTGAAAATAAAATGATGCAATTGAGTACCATTAATGCGTCTAGTTTCCATACTTTAATTCTCACAAGAAGTTTTTTAGGAAGCTGCTCTGTCTTGCAGAGAAGGAAACCCACGCCTGTTCAAACCCAGATTATCTGACTCTAGAGGGAGCTCACAAGAACCATGCTGCTCTGTGTTGCTAGAGTTCAGGAAATAAGACCTCTCTGTGCCATGGTCATGGGGGCGATAGTGCCGAGTTTCTTTGGGGGTTTCAAGTTTCTTTTAGACTTGCTTCTTTATACTTTCATGCTAAAGGCAGTGGTTTGAAGCTTCAGTGTACACCCAGATAGTGTCTATTGCTTGCTGAAACCTTGACTTGTTCAGCCCTCATCTCCACAGTTTCTGAGTTAGTAAGTTTAGTTTGGGACCCTAGCATTTGCCTTTCTGAAAAGTTCTTGGATGATGCTGATATTGCTGGTCTGGGGATAGATTTTGTGGGCCGCTCTTTTAAGGAAATGGACTTTAGGAGACTACAGATTCTTGGTTTATTGATAACACAGATGGACATGAACACAAATTTATTTATATAAATAAAATATTTATATTTCATTTATTTTTTATATATGGCATGCTTTATACTTTTGGCATGATACTTTTTATAAGCTGTTATATGGCTACATTGATAAGTGCTTTATTCCCATGGAAAAGACTTGTAATAGTCATATAAATAAAAAAGATATCTTACTGTTATTTGTCAGTTGTAGTTATAAGTCTCAGAAAAGTTTCCTAGTGAAACAAACTTTTTGCTTGATCTGATGTTTTCATTATTCCAGTTTTTTTGCAATAATGAAATATATACCATCTGTTCTCATGACTGAAATACTGGTTACAATTTCACATCATTTGGTTTTATTCACTACATAATAAATCTGTTTAATTTGCCTGCCAGAGACTTTAGAAACACTGTACAGCCAAGAGTAAGGAGCTTTCTTTAGGATGCTGGTTGGATTTTATGTTTTATAAATTAAATATTTTGTGATAGAATTCTATTTATTTCTATGTATTTCCACTGAAAAATTTCTTTGGCCTTACTGTCATTGAGACTATGAATTTCTCTCAAAAATGAAACAATCTCCAGGAAAATAAAATGAGTAGGAAAAGTGCTTCTGAGTGTTGAGTTACTGATTCTCCAGCCCATGACAGCTGTTGGGCAGAGCGGTGGCCTGCAGGATGAGTGTTTCCTCTGGCTGGTTATGGATGGTTCTGCCTTTCACTAAGCAATGCCCGCTTGGGCCTGTGGTCCTGGAGAGCGTGTGTATCAGGTTGGTGATTTTGCTTTATCTCTATCAGAAGCTACACACTGTTTTACATCTTCTCACCTCACTTCAAATCATACACCCTTCTGATAGCTGGAATTTGAATTCCTACTTTTAGAGAAAAAATGAATTAAAAAATCTATATCCCACAGGAGTCAGATTAGATGTTCTTAGTTACTTAATGGAGGTATAAAAGAGAAAAAACTGATTTTCTTTTGGTAACATTAGGTTCATATTTTCCTAATATCTTTGCAGAAGAACCCTGAGTTTTGAAATTTGGGTAGTTCTGGTTTTCTTATCCTGTTAGCTTTGTTCTGTATTTCAGAACTAGCTTTGGAGTGTGAACCTGTATTATTGGCAAAATGAAAAAGAGTGTAGATAGTGAAACAAGTGTGGTTTGTATGCTGCTTATAAGCTAATGGATGACTTACAAATCAGGCCCAATTCTTATCTGAAAGGAAATACAGGAACTAGAGCGGTACTGTAGGACATTTGTGCACTGCCTGCGTTGTGGCATCGCAGTCTTAAATTCAGGAAAGAGCTACACTGGTAACTTATTCAAAAGTTTAAAACGTGTCATATGTTGTGTTTAATAGTTTAGAAGCTTTTGGTAATTCTTTACGTCTTAAAAAGGAAAAATTTGGGAGGAAAACTGTGCTTTTTAAAAATTTCAGGAAAATACAGTATTGATCAAAATAAAACTCTGTTGAAAAATGAAATCTATAATACAACCATCCCATCATTTAAATCCTCTTTTTTAAAGTAACTTGAAACTTGTAAGTAAACTAACTCTAGCTTTGTGAAGTAGGGCTTTAACTCTTGATTACTGACATGTGTGATCTGTAGAATCTGTCAGTGAACAGAGAAAGGAGGGTGCCCTTCTAAATAGACAACTGAGCTAGGTGTGGTGGCACATGTCTCTAATCTCATTAGTTTGGGTGGGTGAGGCAGGACGATTGTCAAATGGAAGCCCAACCTGTAATTTAGTGTCTCAGTGAAACCCTGCCTCAAAAATTTTTGTCTGGGGATGTTACTCAGTGTGAAAGCCCTGGGTTAAATTGTCAGTCCTAAGGAATGATATTCAGTGATTTTCCTACCTAGAGAAAATCCACTGACTTTTGTTAACTAAAATAGTTTACCATTTAAAATAAGCATAAAAGAGTCCTTATTTTAGTAATGTGTTAAAATTAAGAATAGATATCCATGTAATTTGTTTTGTGTTTATGTTTAAAACTGAAAGGGAAGTGTGTGCTATTTGAAAGTTAGAATGTTTTTATTTTAAATAGAAATGACATTTGCCATTATTAAAAATTAACTTATTAATGTATGTAATGAAGTAGATTTGTTATTATCTATGTTATAATTTTTTGCTTATTTATCCATTTTTTTAGTACATGTTTGCCAAACACAGTGATCACGTTCAACATAGGGAATTTTTACCTATTCATAATATGTTTTCTTTTTCCATTCTCCTCCCCCCTTTTCAACCCTTCTTTCCTAACCCTAACCCTAGCCCTAACCC